CAAAGAAAGGACCAAAAAGTAAATGACGGCAAGAATAATGAGAAAGGATTCGCGTCTACACAAGGACGCAGGTCACTCCTGTTATGAGCCACAGCGATTGATGAAGGAGAATTTGGACCTCTCGCTTTGTGCCAACTGAGGTCAACACGAATGTTTACCATCCAGCCAGCAACTGCCCCCTTCCTCTGGTAGCAAGCAGCAAGACAGGCGTAAACAATTTGTCGCTCGCTTATAACTAATAGTGATTATAACAAAATAATATAATTAACTTCAACATTAAAATATATTTTGTTATATAATTTATTTTTTATAGTACTTCGGGGAAATTGGTGAATATAAAAAGGAGATAAATTCAAGATCGGGGCTTCTTCGGTTTCCTCTTCGGTTTCATCTCCTTCTGCTTTTTTTGCTTCTTAAACGTCACCAATTCTTTCATATACTCATTAGTACTCCTAATTCGCTGAATGTTAACTGTATCGTATTTGGAAGAAAATGAACTATTATACTCGCTGAACTGAATTGCATAAAAAACCCGCGTGGCAGGACATTCAGAGGATTCCTTTTACTTTCAATAAACAAATTAAAATTACATACATATTTTTTTCTGCTACAGTAACCGAAATTATTTTCACGCACTCAGTCATCACTTTTTCCGTAGCGTTCCAGTATTTCTTCAGTTCTAGGCAAGCATGGAAGGAAAATTTAGGGATTTGTATTTTAGAATTTTCACTCTGACGCGCTATTTTCCCCACTTTTTGTGGTTTTTTCCCGCGCACATATTATCACTGGCTTAGCGGATATTAGAGACAGTCTATAGTTAACGGGGAGAGGTTGCGGGGTGGTTAGGGGCTTTTGAATGCTTAAGTGAACGAGAAAGTCTGCTAGAGTTCCAGAAGTGTCTTAGCTAACTGCTCTATACAGTTTTAAGAAATCAGTTACGTTTAACAGCAGCGGTAAAAATAGCAAATTGGCATCTTGAAGTGCTTCCAATTTTTTCCTCCTTAGCTTTGGAAAACTCTTTCAAACCGCGAAGACAAGAAAGACACACATCCAGGAAACATTTCAAAGCTTTGTGTCATTTCTAAGCTAGAAAACCTTTAAAAATTCATTTCCGTGAACTCTGGTGTCATGAATTTCAGTGCAAGGTGGCTTATGACTATATAGATTATGTAATGGGCATAGCATACAACATCTCTTTAGTGCTTCTGCGAAAAGAAAAGGCAGATAACAACAATGCAGATATGACTAATTGAAAACAACAAATTTTATTTATGTTTACTCTTCAATCGTCATTACTTCACTTCTCCATCAAACATACTTATTTTTCTACACAAAGCGGACAGTGGACATCAGCTTGTAACCAACTTTGGTAACCACACTTGATTAAGATTACATAGTCCTTAAATGAGTAGATAAAAATGTATACTTATTTACTGCCACCGACTTCAGGAAATATATTACATTTATTCGTTGTTCCTTCGTATTACAGAAGTTGCACCGTGTCGTTTAGACAGACAATTTATCTTGGTAATAACCACGTCCGAGTCATCTCCTACAGAAACATGAGTGAAAATTGAAAATTCTTTCAATTTTCTGCTTCCCCTTACCAACAAAACCTGTTGTATTTACAAACATAGAAGAAGTTGACTTATTGCACGCAGTTTCAATTAAGCAAAAATATCGTACCCTAAACTCATCAGTTCAATAAGTAATTTTTGTTACCAAATTATGGTACCCAATCACTGTAAATTTGGAGACAAAATGCATGAGGCGGAAACACGTCAATCCTTATAACCTTTCTACTAGTTTGACAAAAGGCGAGTTTTTTCAAATGAATCAGAGTAATTACAACCAGTAAATTTTATTGTATCAAATATAATTACAGTTAACTAATAGTGACGACGTACTGAGCATCAAAAATGTTATAACTCGGCTTCTCCAAAAGTTGTTTAGACCAGAAGTTTCAAAAACTATTAAAGTGACTACTGCATCCAGCTCAGCATTCTTATCGTTTTTTTCTTTTTCATCACTTACGTTACAGATTACTTGATCCAAAATTGTGTTCGGTAATCTACTGTTATTGACCAATCCATCGACGTAAGCAAATTTAAAGTGAGTGATTCAATAGCTATCAAAAGAATTTGGGAGGTGTTAACTGCTTCCGTAAATAACATTTTTCGTTGTTGTTTCCGTAACACTTATTTTGATACTGAAAATCTGCAAAGTTAAATGTAATGACTTTTCTACCACTGTCCAATTCCGCTGGTTGCTCTTAAACTAAGAACTTTGCAGTATTAAATGCTAAAAATCAGATAATAATAAAAAAACTTGAGAGCTTAAAAACAAAGTTAAGCATCTTATTTTTGAACCGCTTCCTTCATCGTTATTCAACAGCTTTGCCGTCTAAGTTTCAAAATGATTCGGCTAAAAGCTTGCTGAAGAAAGCTGTTGTGTATAGCATTAGCTTTTTTACTAACGGAATTTATATGCTCAATACGCCGTCATTTATAATACACTACAACTACGCTCACATTCAAAGATCTCATCAAATATGCAGCAACACTTTTGGTGGTTGATAATCAACAAAGAAAATACTATCTGCTTATTGTTAGTGAAGAACTAGTAGACCCTGCTAAGAGCACATCATCACATACAAACAGCATATTTTTTGTTATAGCGTTGTTTGTTCACTGGAAACTACTAAAATACCAACAGTGCTTTCAACCAAAGGATCATTTTGAAACTGTACTCATCAAGTAATTACAAGTGTTAACAAACATCCACTGCACCAAACAATTAGTTTCTGATTGCTAGTACAGCCTTGATGAGACGTAGTTCACCTGTTAAAAAATACTACTCAATTAAGGTGGAAGAGCATAAAGCTTTATTAATTATATTTTCTCTCAAAAGACGCTGATGGTGACTCTGCTACACCCGATAGTTGTCCATTATAATACCTTGACGAACGGTTGCATATGTAATATCATCTGGCAATTTCCAAGAATTGTTGTTTGTAAATAGTTCTTTAATTTCTACAAAGATCACTATCTGCAACTTCACTTAAGCTCTTAACGATGTTTATAATTTTCAAACTATAAGGAACTATAAATATTTTTCAAAAATTCTCTAAGAGTTACACTGTTCTTCAGCCATTTATTTCTACTCTGTGCTCCTGCAAAAGAAAAGATGTGAAACATTCCCAGTGCTTTAGATCGCAAGTACTAAACCAGTTTAAGCTGTACTGAGGACTTTTCGGCAACAACGCTTCAACAGTATTTTGGGTAATGTTCTTGACTTTTTTAATGCCGATAAACTGTTTATTAAATGTAGTTAAATACAGTGGAGAAATATTGCTCAATACAAAAAACAATCAAAGCCACAAATATAATCGGTGGTTGGAATATTAACTGATGGAGAAGCAACAATTTGGTACAAACTTTATTGTTGCTGATGAACAGTGTAAAAAAAGTGTTGATAGTAATTCATGAAACAACTATGCAGCTTGATAAAATACAGAATGAAAAAAGAAGAAAGAAGATGTTGGCTAATTAAGCTACACCACATAACTAATATCAAAATATTGTTGTTGCTGTTTTTTTTCAAATGACCTTAAACACCTTTAAACTACTCTGTCGTTTCAACTCATTCTCCAGGATTTATATTCTTTTTTCCTGTATGTTTTTGTCCAAGTTGAGAATGACAGATTTGAAATTTGAGAAGATGAAGAAAAAAAAGGTGAGATTAATGATAAGAATGACAAAAAGTGGCAAATAAAATAAACAGAACAAGTCATTCATTCGGAATGTAGATTTGATACGAAGAAACAAGAACATTAATAGAACATTCATGCAGCCGCTATAATTAGTTGTTAGTTATGTCAAATAGCATAGTTGTTAATGCCGTATAGAGCGTTGACGACATAAATTTGCCAAAACATTGTTACTGAGGACAATGTGTACCGCTACAGAAACGACCAGATCGATCGACCATGGCATCAATAAGGTTGTTTATAAAGTCGAAGCCAGTCTTCAGTTGAGATGATGCTGTACCCGTTGTATCAGCAATAACCTTAAACGAGCAATCATTGTTGCAGTGATATATTTTAAATTTCTTCTAAACATTGGTCTACCAAATTTAAGACTGCAGACTGTAGTAACAAATTCATAGACATAACTTTGCACCTTAAGCTGTACGAACAGTATTTACGCTTAAGGCATAAAGAGTGCAGTTGAAAAAGTGTACTGTTTTCAAACATACCTTTCTGCAGCCAACATTCAGAAGTGAGTCCATTCCCAGAGATTGACCTGCAGGTTTGTTCTTGATGCATGTGTTAAGTGCTGAGTCAATAACAGTAACCCAGTCGTTAACCGGTGAAACCCTTAAAATGGATTTTTTAAGTCCTTTGTCTTTAAACTGTGTCGTATGAAAGTGATGCAGTGTTTCAGTTCAGTTACTCATTAACTTTCATCAACTTATAACAAGACAAAGTTTTAACTTACATGTGTGCTTTTATGTTGGATACACAAACATCAACTTTACTGCCAGAACCAATCGCTGGAACACCCCGTCCGCCGCCTTCTACAGTCTGTATTCCAAATAATAAATAATCATATTAGCAAAAGTAATACTAACAATAACAAAAACTATAATAACAGTTAGAATAATGAAAATAACAATATTTACGACTAAGTTCCACGATTCCTAACTGCAAAAACCTATTAGCTTCTTCCCAACAAATTTTTATCTGGTGAAATGTATCTCAAAAAAGATTATTTTTTTTGAGCGATAATATCTTGCTATACTTTTGAAGAGGTATCTAATTGTTAAAAGAGAAGCATTTGCTGTCTCAAAACGAATCGACACACCGATTTGATTGCTTCAGCAACACTAGCAATACGACGTTTAAGATCATCACGTGTGTCCTCAATACACGAGCACGTTGCAGCTTTAATTTCCTGAATTTGTCGGTTACAACTGGTCGGTACTTGCTGGTCACATTTCTTTAGAACTGCAAGCCAACACAGTTATAATGACGAGATAGCGCAATAAGTACAAGTGTATTTTCAGTGTATAAACCTTTAAATGTTAAGTGTTGTTGTAAAGAGGTGAAAAGTATCTACGTCCATGCTATAAATTGGTATTTTACTACCAGAATGGATACAAGTAAACAAACCATCGCAGTGTTTTGCAAGATAACCGGGGAATGGATTCTTCAAACAAGCTTTAGTGGCTGCAGCTCTATTCGGCTTTCTTTCTGCGCAGAAAGCAAGTCTACTTCTGACCAAGATGTAGTCCGATACTGACTTAATTCTAAAATTTTTAGTATTGTTCAGGAAGACTATCAAAATTCTTTACAGACTAAGCAAAAAAAAAAAAATGCTGTCATTTTTGATAGTTTATAATATCTTAGAGAAGCGATGCAACAAAAAAAAATAAATAAACAGGTATATATGTGTGCATGAATGAATATACAAACTTTGTGAAAAACTTACACATTTTCTTTATAAGCAAAAGATGCTTCTTCAAAGTCTGGAAGATCAGGAACACCTGGAAAGTTTGGAATTTTTTTACCAAGGCAGTAGTCGGCTTCTTTGGCAATTGCTTTGGTTACTTCAGACCGAATACATTTTTGTTCATCAGCTGGAGTCGACAAAATGGCTTTGATAGCACCGGCAGCGAACTGAATCGATATTACTCAGTACAAAGAAGTCAAAAGCAGGAGCAAGAAAAAAAAAGTAAGAAAAACGACCAAAAAAATGCTCAGCAAATAAAACAACACTTTTGCTCAGTTATTTCATCTCAGATTAATGAGAATTATATAGCATTTGTATACACAAATCCATTAACTTACTGTTCGACAAATTGAACAATCTCTAAGAGGTCCGTTTCGGTCCCAAGCTAGAGAATCGAGATCTGATGGAGCAAGTACACAACGTTCACGGGAATTTGCCTCAGCGATCGTTGGGGCAAAGCAAGTGCTTGCTGC